ATTAAAACCCATAAATGTGATTTATCTTACTAGACTATCGAGCAGATACATTCAAAACATGTGATTCGGATTAGCGTAACAGTTGTTGATTCGGACTACAAGGTACATAATAATGCATATTTTACACTTTCTAATTTTTATTGGATTATGAGAGAATCTGAGTTTCCAAATATTCGGACTATCGGAGGCCTACTGTAGTTCCACTCAAAAATCTCAGATTTAAGTTAATAAAAAGTTGTTGTTTCTAAGAAAAAATATTAATGAAAAAAAAGCTATATAACTACCACAAAGATACGAAATAATATTGAGTACAGAAGAAGTACTAAATTGATTTTATGTCGATTATTAATTAATTTCAATATACACCAATTACATGTATATGTTTTTTGATTTCTAATATACGTGTAAATGACAATAGGTTGTTATAGATTGAATGCTGATTCAGAGATCATATATAAAAATTTTAATCGTTATTTAATTTGTATAGTATTGGACATCTGTATATTAATTAGTACCTTGCAATGAACTAATATATAGATGTCCAATACTAGGACACCTGTATATTAGTTAGTACCTTGCAATGAACTAATATATAGATGTCCAATATTAGGACACCTGTATATTAGTTAGTACCTTGCAATGAATTTTATAAATATTTCCATTTTAGTACACTTCAAAAATTTTTACTATTATGTCAAAATTAATATATCTTGTTTTATAATTATTAACATAAATATCTCAGAAAATTATAGCTATACATAATTGATTTTCACTTACTTGGCAGTGTTGTAGCCAGAATTGTGCCAAATAGAAAATATTTTTTTTTGGCAGTGATATTAACAATAGATTATATTGACACTACGCGCCACAACCGCCGAATGGGAACCAAGGTAATACATGCTTAGTGTAAGTGGCGACTAAAATTCAGTATGAACCAGCCGATACTGTTTGGAGTATAAATGATAATGATCGAGTTTCACTTAAGACACTTAATATGTAAATCTGATACTACGGTTGTTGGGCCCGCAGCTTCGATGTCTTGACTAATTAATGTTGGCCTTTTTAATTAAAGTATCGTGGTGGCTATAATTTAAACCCAATACTTTATTCCGATATAAAGTTGTACCGGTTGTAAACTCGCTTCCTTTGCAAGAAGGAAACCATATAACCAAATGTATAGTTTTCCTAACCAAGAAGGAATGTATAGTTTCAATTGATACTGGCGCGAATCCTTGAAATAGGAGGCGTTAAAAAATTATGAACTGTATCACTACACATCACTATGATATCCAATACAGATTCATGTTTAAAATTATAAATTAAACAAAAATTAAAATATCTTTCAAATAAAATAAAAATATACTAAGCTTTTGCTTACTCTACTGTCTAGTAATAGAACGAGGATTTCTACAGTTGCAGTTGACAAAAACTTCATGTAAAAACTGTCCTTTCCTTAAAAAGTTCTTGAGTTTATTTTTTACCCATGGCTATGCTCATTTTATCTACATAAATTATGCGTTTATTTTTAATCTGCTAATAAATTATTCAATGGTATTGGTGATTTCAAACGTATCACCTGTAAAAAAATAAAACCGTATCTACGTGTCTACTTGAGTCAGTGCCGCCTCACCCATAAATAAATATTAGACTTGAAAGTGTTAGCAATTGTAATCATACCGATGGATTTTTCTGCTTTTTTTTTCTTTATACAATTTATATATTCAGAAAATGTTCAAGGTCGTTCATTGGTAGTTCAGTTCACCAGTACATTGTGAATAAAAACTGTGTGATTGACTCCTCCAAACGTCACTGATGCTGCCCGCCTCGTTTGTATCTTTTCTTGTCGTGTATCTTTTATTTTTATTCAATTCTTAGTCTACGCCGCTGCTGCTGCTGCTATTAAATATTAAATCATGCATACGACAGCGGGCACATTTTGTTCGGACGTGAACCTTTGTTTATTATTCGAAAATCGTTGTTGTTGTTGTTGTTGTTGTTGTGCTCCTTTTGTGTCAACTTTTATTACAAACTCTCCTCTACATTGTCTAATTCTCAGTGCCATGTGTCATTATCCTGTGGGTTCAGACAACTTTACAAGAGAAGATACAATTTATAAATATGATATTTTTGGTAAGAGTTATCTGCTCTTCATAGTACGTAGACGACGTCGCAAATCAGATTGTAGGGTGAGTGTGTATGGGAATTGTGAATGTAGTTCAATGACTTCAATTTTTTTTTTTTTTTGTTATATCTTTCGTAATGGAAATGATAATACATATAAACAAGAATATCATAATTTTTTTTCAATGATATTGATATCAGATTTTAACTGATCTGAACTAAAATTATTTTTATTTTTTATATGCCTTAAATCTTTGTGTAAATATTATGGAGGCTATAATTTTTTTTAAACAATTAATTAGCATTTTTTTGGTATTTCTACAGATACACATATTGAAAGAGAAACATTGTACATTGTATAATGTGAAATGAATACATATGGAAATATATTCATGTATTAATAATATATAATACAGTCACATGGTTTCAATTCTTTACCTTTCATCTACATATCCTTATATTTTTCTTTTCTTTTTATTTACCACATTCAACACGTATTAATTTCCGGTCTGTGAAGAATATTTTAAAGTTTCATGCTCTTTTAAAAAACACCTGGTTTCGTTTGTCAATTTAACCGTAAATGTTTTTATCTGCTTAACCACATTTTCACCTTACTTCATTGCACCCTAATGCAATGAAGAGTACATCCTATGAACTTCATTTAACATGTTAACAATATTATTGCAATACAAGTTTTATTCAAGTCTTTAGTGGTCAATATATCTAATGCAGCGTGGCTTAACTTTGCTGCTATTGAATTTATAAAATTAAATACAAGTTATAGTGCTTATGCAAACTTAAGATCTCTTTAAGGATCTTAGTCAGCACTAAAAAATTTTACGATGTTTGGGTTCAATAAACAGTATGGATATAAATGTCTATATCAAGAGAGGGAAAGTTTCAATACAAGTAAATTCTTTCTTGTCTAGTAAAATATTTGTTGTAATTCGAAATACAGTAATGCTCCAATCTATTTCTATCAGTACAAAAATCTCAGTATCGTCCGAACAGTAAGTAAGTATGGATACCTAGTCCTTTTAAACTTACTCACATATTCTTCCGATATCAGTTTTTCGATTCTCAGTATCGTCCGAACAGTAAGTAGGTAAGTATGGATACCTAGTCCTTTTGAATTTACTCACATATTCTTCCCATATCAGTTTTTCGATTCTCTTGATATTAGATTCGACCATATATCGAAAATGGTATTGAGATAAATTAGTGAAGTACTTTGAACTTTTAATATTACATAAGTAAATAAACAATACTTATTGTCCCGTCGATACTGAGATTTTTGTACTGATATAATCCGATTCGAGCATTATTACCACCTTTTCTGATATTCCTCCAACAAATATTCTACTGGGCTACATATCATATCATAATATGATCAATCAAAAACCGCTTTTCGAGAAAACTACTATGATCAGAAAATATTATGAAATTTGAAATATTTAATCTTTTCGATTCTGGCAACTCTTTGTTTAGCTTGGCAATACTGTCACTGACAACTGTGTCAAATTTCATATAAATATTTTATTTGTTCAATAGTTACATGTGTTTTGTGAGCAACAAAAATTTAATAAGCAATTTTTAAGATATCTGACTTTATTGAGCAAAAATTGTTACAAAAAAATTTTTTTTTCGTGTTATAATTTTTTTTGGAGAAATATTGAGGATATTGCAGAGATCATTCGGTGCCTTCAAAGTCTGCTTTGTCAGAAATCAAAAAAATATTGACAAGTTTTATAAAAAATTAAAAGAGAGTAGAGAAGAAGTTGAAGACAAGATAGGCCACGATGGTCATCTATATTAATGACAAACACGTCTAAGAAATCAGTTGAGGTAAAAAATCATCATGTGACAATAAGAGACCTCACTGATATAGTGAATACTTTAATGTGAAGGATATTTTGTGTGACTTCTGTCTATTCGCTAAGCTCAAGAGACCGCTTTTTCGATACAACTAAAGATTAAAAACTGAAGCGACTCCTATACTTCTTTATTAATCTTCTTTATTAATCAAAACCTTAGTCCTGTTATAAAAATATGGTGTTCAGAACGAGTCGCTTACCTAAAATTGTGGGAATGTGTACACCTATCCATTAAAGAATTTAATATTAGAAGTTGCAAGTGGCACATGGGCTGCCACACATGGCTTTATACCTACATTAAAATTCTGATAACAAACAACGTCGAACTTCTATTAAAATAAGTGTTATATCGTTTAAATTTCTCACATTCAAAGTAGAGGTGTGCTTCAGCTTTGAAAGCGTAAATTTTTGTGTTATCGTTATCAGAGTTTTCGTGCAAATATCCGGATATGTGTAAATAGTTAATAGACTGATTTATCCAGTTAGTCGATTTTGTTTTGAAAATTTTAAATACTGAAAACATCCTGAGTATATCGCAGTAATTAAGATTCAATATTATTTTTGTGGTGGATTTGTTATTAAAAAAAATTTTTTTGGCACTTATCACACCCCTGAAGAAGTTTATTTCCTTCTTACAAGTGTTCGTATGCTAGTTTTTAAAATATTTAATTAGTAGTTTTTAAGTTCATTAAAACTTTATATTAGTTGAAGAATCTCAGAATGGTTACAGGCTTTTCGGGAAGGTATGCAGATCTGAGGCCAGTTATTGCTTCGTCTGATGTAGTGATAAACAATAATCCAGTCAAGACGTAGAGAGGGGTTATGAATAAACCTCGCAGTTAATAGAGAGTAAAAGTGCTCAAGTGCACTGACTCAACTAAGCTCAACAAGATAATAATGTGTTAAAAGATTACTTTGTCGATGCCGATATTTAACTTTATATTTATATATTTTCATTTATTAATGATGATTAATTTAATAATTTGGTATTATTTTTATTTACAGAAAGAGTGCCGGTGTAAAATCTAAGGAATTCGATGAGGTATGTATATATATTATATTTGTATATTAATACACACATTTAAATAAATGCTGTCAGATCTTTGAAAACCTCAAATAAATCCTAAACAAATATTCTGTACTGTCAAATTAAATGAGATTGACGACTTCAACCACAAAATTTTCAAAATTCCTTTATAATATGTTTTAAAGTAAATAAAATGTCACATTCAATTAATTTTTTTAACAAATGCTTAATAAAAAATATTTAAGCTTTGATATGCTCTGCTCTGTCTGCATTGTCTCATAATGATTACACATATCAGTGGAAGGCATTATTGTGTGGTCTAATTTTATTCCAAAATCACTCGTTGCAACTCACATATGTCGCATAAATTGCCTGCTATATATGTGGTATGTAGATACTTTTTGCTTAGAGTATCTTACAAAGTGCGCAGCATTTTAATTCCAAAAATTATTGAACTCTTGATTTCTGCTTAGTTTATGTTTCAATGAACTTTGGGCATTATTTTTGTACACATTTGGATTTTGAAAATTTGTGGTAGTTTTTTTTTTGTTTTTATATCAATCCAGGCTGAATGTTATTACTGCGACTGTGGCTATGACTGACTGTGACTGTCTGATCACGTTTCTCGAGTGTGCGTTGTTGTTGTTGCTTCACAATTGGTGGCATGTCGGTGTCAATAACATTAATCGTACCACAAACACATTTTTAGGACACGTTTTTTTTCTGTTTACCCTTCAATTTTTTAGGATACAATTCGTATGGTTTTATTTTTCTACAGTTCAATAAATAATTGTCTTGGGCTGCTGTTTTTTTTTATTATATTAAAAATTTTTTTCTTTGTTTGCTTATTTTTGTTTTTTGGAAAATTGCTTCGTTTACACAATTTTATTGAAAGTATCATTTCATTTTTGTTTACAAATTCTTTAAGTGTTTGATGTATATATAAGTTAAATAAATAGATTACTGCATTGAAATTTAGAGTCCGTTCTATGTTTACATTACAATTTATTTAAATTTTTACTACTTTGGTTTTGAATTTTATTATATTGAAGTTGATTTTGTTTACACCACTTCTCTACAGTTAAATTTTGTTTATTTTGATTGACTCACATTATTTATTAAAAGTTTAGCTGATATTGAACTAACTTTGACAACTGTACCTTAATAAATTGATATCATATTTTAATCTATTACAAAATATCTTTATTTAAACATGTCTTTAGAATTTGTAGTCATTTGTCTTTATTAAAAATGCACTTTACTAGCACTCTGCACTTTAAAAGTAAATAAAGTTTCTGTTGCATAGTTGGGTGTTTATTTTTGTTATTTTTGTTATTTTCATATTGCATAAATTTATTACGAATCGCTAATAATATTTCATAATTCCGAAGTACACCCACATTATCGCCCACTTGTCGTCCTCTACTATTAAATTGTTGTTGGCGGATGAGTAATTTCCACGCACTCCAAATTGGTCATCACTGAACACACCCATTCTTACAATCCATTTTTGCTTTACTATTGCAGTGCTGCATACATACACATATTGACATACTTTGTAAGCAGGCAAAACCATGCAAACTAGTGCCATCGTGCATTGTCAACGTGATTGTGTTCCAATGCTTTTATGTGTGTGTGTGTGCGTTAGTATAAATGTCAGCCGTAATAGCAACCAAATTGCAATGTGAGGTGCAACTGCTTTTGACAGTTGGCAGTTCGGAGTTGACAGTTGTACGCTTACACATATCAACATTAACTTTTCAAGATTTTTAAAAACAAAGTTTTTAAAATTTAATGAAAACTAAAGAAAATATAAAAATCCTTGCAAAAATAAAACGGAAGGATAAATAGATTTTGAACTGCTTTTCATCATTATTTTATTCATAAGTTTCATAAAATTTTTTAAACATTTTATTGTGTATACATTTTCATTTAAAGAGAAGCGGTATTTTAATATTATAAACATTACTTATATTACCTAAATATAATAACTAATAGTAACCATGAAGATATGAAAATTAGATAGTTTCTTTATATATCTCAAGTGAATATGCAAGTGGATATTTTATATTTAGTGTGTCAAAATGTTTGCTAGGCGCTGAAGAGATCATCAGAAGTTCTATATAGCAGCATAAAACTTATTTATTAACTCAATTGTTCAAGAGCTTTTATATATCTTTTTGTAGTTATATTTTCTCCGTTGCTGTTTTCCAGTGACAAGCCATCACTGTGTCCGAGTATCGGTATTTAGCGATATACTGAGGGCATGACCTTGTAACCATTATTTGGTTATGAGTGCACGACGGTGACAAATTTCCAGTTTGATCTAAGGAGCTGAAGGTTTGGGCACAAGAAATATATGTATAAGAAATATATGAAGTAAGCTTATTAAGATATTTGTTAGGCGGAGGTATTGACATCCAATTTAGTAATGATTTCACGAGTTTATTTTATATTAGCTCATTAGCATGAGATGAATAGTTTTCTAGTGAGAGATACATAAGTTTTTCTTTCTGTAAATGAATTATTTAAGTTAAATGAAATGAATTTTAATTATAGGTATAAAATATATTAAATAACTTGACAAAATTAACGAATTAGACAAGCCCTTCTGTCTTTTTGCTAGTCTCAAAATATAATAATGACTTTATTTTATATAAATTATATATAAATTATATATTAGATATAATAATAATTAATATTGAAACTAAACCCTTCCACATTTATTAAGTTTTTTATGATAAATAACTAAATGAACGTTTTATGTAATTAAATTTGTAATAACAAATATGTAAAAGTAACATAGTTGTTTAGTTCTATATATTTTTATATCTTATCATAGGTTTCGAAATGCCGGAAGTAATTATCGCATTGCAAATATGTAACTAAGAGGCACTTGACAGTGGGAACAATTATTTGTATAAACTACATTAAATGTAGTATTTATATTGGTTCTTTTGTTTAACCACTATGATATGTAAATCATTGCATAATAGTTTTTTATACATGCGCCAAATATATCTCTACTATTTTCTAAAAACTTTTATACTTTTGCAAAAGTTGATAAACTTTTTTTTTTAGGTATATTTATAAAATTTAAAATATTTGCTTTAATAAAGAATTATGTATCATTTACTAAAGTTATTAAGTTCTTAATGGAAAAGTTTTTTTAAACTTTTATTGCTTAAAATAATTTTATCATTATTGTTAGTTATTAAAAAACCATTGTTGGTCAAAGACTTTAATTTATGGTTGGTAATCTTTCATAAGGGTGTTATTAATACATTCAGCCAATGATTTCATGGTTTGTTGTTTGCAATATAGTCTTCCGGTTACCATCAGGGTTGGTTAGAAAACTTCCATGTACCTTAATTAGCGATTTGCTACCATATTCCTCGCAAGAACTCTTAATATAGAAGAGTAGAGTCTAAATCCATCCCGTCGAATTTAGATAATTCAATAGGTCTCTCGTCTTCACTGATAAACAGTGTGATAAATTGTCAAAGAACCTATTTCTTCTGGACGCCAAAGCTATGTATTCACAGAGAAAATGTATAATGGTTTTTTTCCTGCGGGTTTTCACAACTTCTGCAGTGAATGATCTTACATAGTACGCTGTGCTTTGATAAAACGGATGACAGTTTCGATGTTAAATATCTGTTGAATTGTAAAAGTATTCATCTTCTCGCTTTACTGAATGTTTACACTGACTAGGATTTGGCAAGACCTGGCTAAAAAGAAGCCTCGATAATCTTATATATATTATATAAAATCAATATTAATCTTATCACTTGTTGGAGTTAATTATTCTTATTCAACATTCAATTAAATTAATTAATATTATTTCTTTATTTAATATTAAAGAAATTAATTAATATTATTTAAATCAGTTAATATTTTGTGCTTTTAAATTGAAAGAAAAATCACTAAAACTTTTTTCTCTTTATAACTTTAAAACTATTAAAAATGATTGTATTCCATTTGATTTAAGATATCGATAGTGTACTTCAATTTAATAGCTTAAAACTATATTTCTTTGAAAAAATTATCAAGAGAACTTACATTACAAAAATTATACATAAAAATAAAATAACTTTCCTATAGAAGCAACTTTCAATATATTGTGTGGTGATGATTATTTACTTCCGACTTTCACTAGTTTTTACACTTTATTTATTTAATGTGATGTGTAGTTATTAAAATTTTCGTTTAACGTACTTCACACTTCATCACTCTGATTCTCTTCCCAACACTTGCCAAGATCAAAAAAAAAGAAGTGAATATTTTTTTTACCTTTTGATTTTTTGTACTTCAAGTTCACGTTATTTAAACTGTATCTCCTTTGTGGTTCAGATACTCCCACTTGAAAGCATTAAATCAGTCGATGACGTGTTATTTGGTCAGCTTACCATGAATTATTGGAATGACTGTATTGCATGCAACTGAGGCATAATTTATTTGAATGGTATTTCATAAGAATTTGTATTGAGAAATAAATATTTTTAAATAATTGGGTTTTTTTTTTGTTTAATAATGAAATTAAGTAAATTAATACGTTGTATATTTGTTCTAAATCTATATTAACTCTATTATTATAATCAGGATTTTCCATTTTTTTTGTTTTAAATATAAAACTTGAAATTAATTCAGTAAATTAATTAATTTAATAATTTATTTAAAAAGTAATTTATTCATTGTGAGTTGACGTGTCTGTGTAATATATATAAATTTTTAGGTTTTTTGATTAATTAATTTTATTTTTATTATAAATTACATTATTTATTTATTTTATTTTTTTTTATTTTATTTATTATTTTTTTTTATTTTTATTTTATTTTTTATATTATTTTTTTTTATTTTATTTTTTTATTTTATTTTATTTTTTTTATTTTATTTTTTTTATTTTATTTTTTTTTACTTTATTTTTTTTTATTTTATTTTATTTTATTTATTTTATTTATTTTATTTTATTTTATTTTACTTTGAATCTTTAACTTTCTGGCTTTAATCAAAAA